GTCACCACCACTCAGATAATTATAATCTAGTGCTCTAATTAATTGGATGATAATTAGTAATCAAATAATCATCCTTCCAATACAATTAGCCTTGTTATCGACACCACAACAAAAACACATTTTAGCGGCAATAAATATATACATTAACAAAGAGTGTTAAAATCTTTACCGGCATTAGTAAATTGCTATTATATATATATAAAGAGTGTTAATTGCCGCTAAGAGTACATATTTCGTGACAATTAAGTTATTATCGTTAATTAATTTAAACCTTCAATCTACTGGTTAATGATAAAGATGTCCAATCACTTCAGGCTATTAAAAATATTCCTAATACCTTATGTATGGAATGGAATATCGGTGCCAAACGAGAGCTCTGAGCTCCTTATAAATCTTGGACAAACTTTCTCTCTTTGAGCTAGTTTTTGGAAGTGTGAATTAGACTCAAAACCTAATTTTGCAGGATCTCAAAACCATGCCTAATCCGACGATGTGAGGACCCGAAGGAGTTACTCACCAGACCAATTGAAGGGGGTCAAGGATACCTCCGGTCCAAGTCAATTGCAAGGGTTGATAAGAATATGTGGTGTGAGGGATGGAGGTGGTGATGAACTGATGGAATACAATATTGAACAAGAATTCTAGACTTGTTATGAGGATTAATCAATCGTCTTCCTTTAACCTAACTTTTTCGATGTGAATAAGTTAAATTCAAGAGCTAATTTGCTAATAACTTACTTTCTTTAATCAATTTCTAATATAAAATTTTATTCACAAATTATAATATTACCGACATTTTTTTCTAGTCAAACTTTTTTTTTTTATCAGGGTGAAACTATAGAGGAACATGACTCAATTCTAGATTTCAAGCCCCCACTTCCCACTCCTCTAATTATTATTGTTAATTACTTATGAGTTGTGACAACAATTATATAAGTGGGAGATGGGCTATGCACTTTTCCCAAGAAACTTATCCATGATTTCATCCTTCATATCTTATCAACTTTGTTTTCCCATCTGTGGGGTCTAAAATTAAATTTTCAGCACATCACTAATAATAATAAAAAAAATTAGCCTATCAGAAATAAAGATGAAAAAAAAAACTAGTGCAATTTTTTGATAAATTTACAAAATGCACATTATTCTTTATTCATAAAATGCCTGTTCGTACATTATCGTATCTAGAAGTACATGACTACGTACTGTTAAAGAACCATGACCTACGGTTAGGGGTGGTTTGGTCAACTTACTAATTACTCTCGAGAAGCGAAAAATAACAATTATTCTGAACAAATATAGTATTAAATTGAGTTTAAAGAATAACACGTTTCTTTAATGACATGCAAAATAGCAAATATGACAAGTAAAATGAACTGAAAATGAATATAAGGTGAATACTAATACATGAAAATGTTATGTCATGATTACTTACTTTAAGTTATCTTCTTCTTTTTTTGTCTTTAAATACTTTAATCACTATATTGTTAATAGACATACATATCATCAAAAGATTGCATATAGTTATGAAGAGATTAATTATTTTTCTCGTACAACTAACTAGACAATGCAAACTTATAATGAAGATATTTATTTATTGATATTTTACCATTCTCAAACAAACTTCGTAATATTGATCTATGCGTTATTTTATGCTGAAATTATGTTTTCCCAATCCCTCATAATATCAATCACACATGCTTTGCCTCTCTCTCAATTACTCAACAGTATGTTGACCTTTAGTGATCCCAAAAAGACTGGCTCTTGTATATAAAAAATACATATATACACACACACATATCTCACTTCCATACAAACACCATTCTCTCCTCTTCTTCTATACCCTCTTTACAAAAAAAAAGTATATATTATCAAAATGATGGATGGAAAATTTGTCAAGGCATGCCAAAAGATGGGGACCAAAGTGATAACTTGTGCAACAAATTGTGACAAATGCTGTATGTGGACAAAATGGCCATTTGTGCAAGAAGATAATAATATCCCTAGAGATGTCCCAAAGGGTCACTTGGTGGTGTATGTAGGAAAATACCAAAAGAGGTTTGTAATCAAAATTAGTTTGCTCAAGCATCCACTATTCAAAGCATTGTTAGATCAAGCACAAGAAGATTTTTATGATTACAATCATGTTGAGTCAAAATTATGGATCCCTTGTGATGAAAACATATTTGTAACTGTTATAAGATGTGCCACATCTCCAAAAAATAGACGTATCTCTATATGTTTTTGATGTTGAAATCATATAAATAGCCTGTGATTAAATTTCATTAATTCATGATGTTCAACTCATAGATAGAATGTTGACATTTTTAAGTCTATTATATCATCATATCGTATGTATACACCTCCAAAAGCTAGCTCGAAGGGAGGAGGATTGTCTAGGCCTTATTAGATCCCAGAATGCCATTCATTTACTAATGTGGGACATTTCATTCATCGCCCCTCGTGTCTGGATCCGAATATTCTCTATCAAAGATTTCACTGTCTAGTCCAGTACGTGCACATTCATGGACCGGGGATGTTTCCACCCACACAACTATTTGATTTCCTAGGGGGGCACATTGAGCAAGGTTATGATACTATATAAAATTAGGTCTTGGGTATAACTCATACCCCAAAAGCTTAGCTCAAATGGAGAAAGATTGTTCAAGCCTTATCACGAGTCAAGGATTCCATTCATTCACCGATGTAGGACATTCCATTCATCAAGTCACTCAGTGGCGTATGTGAAATTTTGTGAAGTAATATCAGTGTGTTATCACAAATGTTAACTTGTATGTGTTAAATCTATGTCGTTGCATCTTGTGCAAATTGATGCTTATTTTGTGTTAATTCAAGCATTATGGACGGGCTCAATAAATTTGATTGGCTAAAACCAAATTTTAATTAAGCCTTAAATTCTTTCTTGTAAGTAGGGGTGTACATGACCGGGTTGGTTCGGGTTTTTCAAATATCAAATCAAACCATTTGTGTATAAATTTTAAATTTATAAACCAAACCAAACTAATAAAATTCGGATTTTTTTGGTTTTTTCAACCTTGGGTTGGTTCGGGTTTTTTAAATACCAAATCAAACCATTGTGGCGAATTTTTAAATTTATAAATCAAACCAAACTAATAAACCTCGGATTTTTTCAGTTTTTTGAATTTTTTCGGTAAAGTTTGCATACAAACATATAATTAACTTGTGCTCCAAATATTTCTTTAGTCCAACCAAAATACAATTATCTAAGGTGTTTCTTAAAAAAATAACACAAAATATGAGATGAGTACTGATAACACTAAAATATTCAATAAAAAATAATAATGAAATCATCATATAAAATAAATATTGCAAAGTCATAATGAAAATGATCATAATTTAAAAGTACTAAATCATGCTAAAATAAGTTTAATAAGTATTAGTTACATTACTAAATATTTAAGGAAAATTAAAATTAGATAATGTATTTTAATTGTCTAAACTAATGGATAACTAAAGAACAAATATTCAATATTATTGTCATTCTTAGAGTTGAATTGATTTTGTTTTTGCATTAGTATTAATTTGATTTTGATTTAAGCTTTATTATAATTATCAACATCTATGAACTATAATCTTTATTGGACCATTCCGAATTTTAAGTTTTAAACTTGAAATAATATATTAAAAGATAAAAACTATGAAATAGTATAAGAAATATTTTAAAATTATATCAAAGTAAATATTTTTATGTATAATATAAAATTTTAAAATTACATATATAATGTCGGGTTGGTTTGGTATTGGGTTGGTTTTTTTTAGTTAAAATCAAACCAACCCAAATATAGTCGGGTTTTTTTTTCCAATACCAAACCAAATCAAACCAAACCAATAGTCGGTTTTTTTTTTTCAGTTTGACTCGATTTACGGTTTGGTTCGGTTTTCGGTTCGGTTTTGTACACCCCTACTGGTAAGGCTTAAGCCTTCATATATTTGAAGCCTAAATTTCTTGTCTTGTGGGATTAAATAATTAAGTATATTGTTTTTTTTTCTAATATCTAAGATTTGCTATCGCTTGGCAAACCATTCACTTTAAGTACTTCTCATTCCAACACAATGTCTAAAGTAGAATAAGACTGTAATGTAAATAATGATTTCAAAAAGGAGCGGAATAAAACTAACAATGTTAAATTATAATCGAAAATATGTTATACAATATCAAAGAGAATCTATAAGACTTTAATTTGAGTATTCAAGAGATACGAGACACATCCTTATAAAAAAATGAAGACAAAAAGCTATGTTTTAATTTGGCGCATCACATGAGAAAAATTAAATTTGGCACACCGCCTTGAACAAAATATAGAGTGCATGAAAAAGTGTGTTAAAAAGAGAGTTTTATTTAGTTGAAGAAAGTTGTTATTTCGGCAGAACTTTGAACACGTTTCTTCATCAGAGTTTGTTAAGTTATACTGTATTTGTTGAGTTGTTGTATCATGAACTTGTTATACATCTTTCTTGTATTTAAAAGATCACAATGATTAGAATGAGAAATATTATTTAGGTTGCATGTGTGTTTGTAGAGTCTTTTGCAAATGTTAAGGTCGGGGCTTCAGAGTTTTCAGATCCACTATCACTTTAGTTGTTGAAAGTGAAAACTAAAGCTCTTTCAAAGTCTCAAAACATGATTTGAAACACAAATGTACAAAACGAGGGTCGGGTTGTTACACTCAACCCAAACCACACCAAGTCCTAAATAGTATTTCCTTCGTACACTTTTACTTATCCACCATGCTAAAAATAAATGTCCATTTTGAAAAATCAAAATATATTTTATCAAATACTGAACAAAATAGTTTATATTAGCATTTTTTCCCGTCTGGCATAACTTGTGAAAAGACATGCTTTGCCAATTCGACAAGACCTATATGCTTTGCCAAATAGAGACCAAAAGAAGCTTCTATTTATAGGCGTCGGAGGCATCTAGCTACCTCTTTTCCATGATATATAAAAACAAAGGGCACTACCCTAACACACTTCCTTATTACGAATGAAAACTATAGAACCATCGTAATTGCAATAAAACACAATCACAATATAATGTTATTCTCAAATGATGGAGAAAAAACATACTCAATAAAATCCCTTGCAATATATGAGATTAGAATTAGGATATGGATATACCATTAGCAACTGGCATAACTCAATCAAAAATACTAAAAGAACCAGAAAATATTTCTGATTAACTGGAGTAAGAAAATGGCAAGCCCACAAGAGGGAAAACCCTCATTCAAAAATCAGGCTTCTCGGGGTACGTGCAACCAGGCCTTTGGATGATGACATTTGATGCATAACATCCTGCTTTTACACAATCTGCAATAGGTTTTTCTTGGACCAATTGTGCAAGGAATCCTCCAACAAATGCATCCCCTACAAAAGTTTAAACACAAATTATGTAATTTCTTGATTTGTTTACCAGGCAAACGCACTATAGAACAGGGTGTGTACATGATAAATCATTAATGCATTTCATGCATCACGGGACACAATTCAACCAAGTCATGCTAGTTGATTTTACTCTCGTGGAAGAAATATATTGCCGAGAAGGTAACAAGAGGCAGTTAGGAAGTGTTATATTTTATAAATTTTGTGATAAACTATAAGAATTGGTACAACACTTCACATTTCCAAAAAACTTGTAAAACTTTATGAAAGTAGGTGCAAAAACATCTCTTGTTCTCTTTTTAGTCAATGAGAAGTCTGCAAATTTAGGATTCTGATTCCTACCCACTTTATCGTCTGAATTTTCTAGATAAAAAACTTAGAGCTTGTTAAATGCGTTACTGGTTGCAGTTTTATCAGTACAGAGGCAAATACGACAGCATATCAAAGCAATGGTTAATTTCTTGTATGGTCACTGGAACATTTTCCACAATAACAAATTAAGTCATAAAACTATCTTGTGACGTTGAAGTAACTAAACTTAACCCACTATAATAGTAAAGTCACAAGACTGCTTTTCGTTTACATTATTAATAAAGTCACAACTTATCAACCATAGCTATATAGTCGACTTGATGGTTAGGTTGGGACGTTATAGTAATAGTGAGAAAAGTTCAGCTACTCAATGAGGCAAAACATACAGCTTTGTAACTTAGTGTATTCAATTTAGTTACTTTATTGTCGCCAAAAACAGTCTAGTGACTTAATTGTTATAATGAAATAAAGTTCAATGACTACGTGAAATTAACCCAAAAGCAACACTAATATAAACCACATACCAGCACCATTGGTGTCGACAAGTTTCTCTTTTGGCAATAGAATTACAGGGAACTGCTTCACCTTCCCATCCTCAGCCACAACAACTGGATCAGCACCCTGGGTAATGACAGTGATTCTCTTGCGTGTTCCTGATGCCTTTGGCCATTGGGAGATCTTCACAGCAATTTCTTCAACATTATCAGTCTGGTCATTACAGCATAAGTTAGCTATACAACACAAAGCCAAATATCTATGAGAATGTCGTAGTTAGTCATCCATTACCTCCCAGCCATGAACTCTAGAGAAGGTTCTTGCTTCTGTCTCATTACCAAAGACAAAGTCCATATACCTGAAAACAAGAGATGCAAGTCCTAATCAGTATCTTCTACAGTCAAGTAACCTTAAATAGGTGGGACATTGGTCTTACGGCAGGACTTTCTCTTGCTGATCCTTGAAGAACTCACAGATAAATGGTGCTGAAAGGTTCATTGAGAAAACCTGCAGCAATTAGGAAATTATATGATCGTTCATTTTAACACTACAAAAAGCGGTCAAACACAAACAATGTCAACAGTCAGACCTTGTTCTTAGCAGCTGCATGTTCAGCAACCAGCTGAATAGATTCTGGCGAAACAGTGAGAAAGAATCCAGCGATGTAATAATACTTGGCCTTCTCCACTGTATACACATAAAAATTAGTTTAACATGAAAATTACGGATTTGCGTGGAAAAGAAAAACAGTAGTAAGGATTCCTACCCAAAGCCCAGTTCTCTGGGCGTTTCAAATGGTCAACCTTGTAGCAGTTAGCAGCTGATAAGTTTGCAACCAGCGACCTGGAAAAAAAATTTCCAAACATCATTTCATAAGTTTATCACGTTTTAAACTTTATCTAATTGAAAAATATTTTTTTTCTTCTTCACCCTTCTCATAAGCTAAGAGATTAATTGTAAGACAAAAAGGAGGTAAAACAAAAACCAAATTATTCCAGACTAACCTTTCGCCGTCAAGCACACAGACAGCACAAGTACCCGTTGGACTCTCATCCTCATAGTAGTGAACCTAAATACACCCATGTGTAAAGATCACAGAAATTAAAGTCTCTTTACCATGTTATCACTCCAAATGATAGCAAGACCAAGGCAAAACGATGAGTTAATAAATCTGAAAGTATTAATACTAACCCAACGCCCCCACCCCGGGAAAAAGAAGAAAAGAAAAAAGCAGACAAGGAGAAAAGAGACCAGGAATTTACATTAACACCAGCATCTTGTGCGTTTTTCTTCATCTCCTCCCCAAACTTGTCCTTCCCGATAGAGCCCATGTAACTTGTTGCACCTGGAATTTGAAGCATCCACTGCAAATGAAAATGAAAAGTTATTCTGCTGGACTAAATAGGCCATGTAAGATTGCAAGAACCAAGGGAAAAACAAAATGACAACACACCTGAGCTACTCTGATTGAATTTTGAGTTGCACCTGCATTTCAGAATTGTAAAGACAACGTGTTTAGTGTGTCCTGCTATCTTCAATGCAAAATATCATTCAATACAGATGTTGTTAAGTAAGGATCAAGTGATGTGACAGTATACCTCCAGCAATGAAGTCAACATTATATTTGGATGTCATTTCTTCATACCTAGGATATAAAATTATTCATCAGCACTTTGAATTAACAAAGCATATTCCTTGTTAAGGCACATGACCCAACTAATTCTTCAGCACAATAAGTTCTAGTGACTACTCTATTCACGTTTGTACTCTAAACATACTACTATTCAGCAAGGCAAAGACTTCACCTTTAATATCAGAAAAGTAATAGGCCCGTCATTAAAAGAAACAATTCATACTGACCAGGAACAAGATTAACTCTAACCAGAAAAATATCTGTACAAGACTACAAGAAATCTTTTGAATGAGAGTGTATTGTAACCAGACATGCACTTATGAAAGCGTTAAGCCTATCCATAGAAGAAATATACTGATTGCTTGGACAATGCATTTGTGATTTCACATGCTAAGTTAATTGGTTTTTGACAAGTCATATTCGAAAGTTGTGATGATAGGGTAATTTAAAGTGAATCGTCAAGAAACCATGGCACCTAGTTTCCCTCAATAACATGGTGTGTACAATTTGTATCTGCATATTCAATAATAATGTGAGGTGATACTATCTATAACTTCCAAATTGACTAGAGATTTGAATTAGAAATAAAATGAGCACAGATCGATTCAAAACAGGATTTTTAAGCCGCTTTGTATTATTTTTAGCTTGTATTCGACATGGCGTTAAAAAATTATTCAACACGGATAAGCACAGAGGCAAGCCATTTATTATTTTACACATGAAATCAGGTAACTGCAAGAAATATTATAATCAATCTTCAATAAATAATTTAGAATAAAATTCTCATTGCCCGAATCAAATTGCAAATCATTCTTATCCATAAGTACATTATTAATGACTCTGAAACATGGTATATTCCATCTATCTTACACACGGTCACTTATTATTCCCCAATAAAGTTCTCTTTTTTTTCCCTATTAGAAAGGAACTAGACCTGTTCTCTAGTGTTTTACACAGCACATAAATAACTAGCCTAATCAACAGCAAGCTATGCCAACAATGGTACCCAAATGACAGTCAGGAAAAGAACCAATTCCTCAACTCACTACTTCTGGACCCAATCAGCTGAATTATCACTCATATGTACATGCGAGAATCAATCCAACGATAATAAACTAATTACAGAGGCGAACTTATCAAAACGAACGAAAAAAAACTAATTAGTACAACACAAAATACAATCTCATATCCTAAGCTATAAAATGCGGATAAACACATCGAAGCTAAAATGAAAAACAACACTCTAACTTACATAGGCAAGTGCTTATCCTCAGCGAGAATAGCATTGTTCATCTTGATGTCATACCTGAGATTTAAAAACAAAAAAAAAAAAAAACATATCATTCAAATAAGAACATGATTTTACATCCAAATCCAGGTAAAACTAATGAAATTCAAAAGCTATTATACAACTTTACTCTAAAACTAAAAACTAAAACAATGTATAATACGACGAATACTGAAGATTCAAATTCAAAATGCAACAATAAGTGTAAAGAATGTAAATAAACATCGAACATTCACCAGATCTATGAAATCAAACTATACAACACAAAACTAAACAGTTTAGATTAGCTAAAAATGCGAAAAAAAATTCGAAAAAAATGTGATAACATTAGTTACTTGTTTAGGAAATCTTGATCGATAACAGCTGAGATATCGAGCAATGGATTGCCCATACCCAAGAGAATTCCTTCATACTCCATTTTTTATATGATATTTCTGCGTTTTTGGAGTTTGTTTCAGATCTCAAATTAGATGCAAATTCGGCTTTAGGTATTGGAGCTCTTTATATACAGCAGCGGAGTCGGGTGTCGGTGAATTAGTGGGTAAATGATAGTGACACCGTTTATTTTATTGTCAAATTTTAATTAATTCTAAATAAATACACACATTAGTGCTAATAAATTGGTTAATGACTTGCCAAATAATAATTAATAATATTCTTTTTTTATAATTAATAATATTCAATTAAGTATCGTACTACTTTTCTTTTTATTCGGTCTAAATATTAAAAAAAAAACATACATATTATTATATTTAATATTAAATGTTTCATTTTATTAAGTTTTATTGTTATTCTTAAATTTTGTATTCAGTCAAATATTATCATATAAAAAGAAAAGAAAAAATACAAGATATGTCCACTAATATTTGCGAATATTAGACCTATTTACGAATAAGTTACTCATTTGAAAAAAATATAAGTAAGTGATTATTTTATAATTAGATCAAATTGTATTGTAAGTAAAGATAATAAATTTGATTAAGTTCAGTCAAATTACACTAAAATAATGAAAAATTGTTAACCGGGAAAACTTAAATTCATGATTTTATTAAGTAATTGATAATTGATGTAGTACCTTTTTAATACTATTATTTTGGAAATTAAAATAAAAGTACCTAACCCAACGTGACATTAGGCTTTTCACATCTCGAAAATCAACATTGGTAGGTTCAACTTCATTTGGGTGGGGTCCTTTCACCAACCATTTTTAAAAAAAATAATAATAATATAATACATAAATGTGTCATTCAATTTGATCATGCTTCAACTTTAACTGTATACATGTAAACATGTATACAGTTAAACAAGTATATACATGCATTTTACATGGCATAATAAAAATCAGTTCAAGCATATCTCACGCAAATTATCTTGTAGATGCATATCTCTACTTATTTAATTTTATACAAGTTTAACTTTTATTTGTGCTTTATGAATATCCAAAGTTGAAGGATATAGATGACAACTAAAATCAAATAAAGAATACACTTGTATTTTGCCAAAAAAAAAATATACATAAAAGGATCAAATATACCCTATACTATTAAAAATAGTTTAAATATAACTCTGATTATTTGAAGAAGTTTGAGATTTGTAGATTCTAAATCTACATATATGTGCAATGCACATAAACTAACTACTAGCTATTAAAATCTATCATAATATTTAAAATTTTGAAATTAATTAAAGTTATATTTATTAAATTTTTATCTATTTGTAATAGGTAAGAACTTCTAATATTTGTGCTCTATGAATATCCAAAGTTGAAGGATATAGATGACAACTAAAATCAAATAAAGAATACACTTGTATTTTGCCAAAAAAAAAAATATACATAAAAGGGTCAAATATACCCTATACTATTAAAAAATTGTTTAAATATAACTCTGATTATTTGAAGAAGTTTGAGATTTGTAGATTCTAAATCTACATATATGTGCAATGCACATAAACTAACTACTAGCTATTAAAATCTATCATAATATTTAAAATTTTGAAATTAATTAAATTTATATTTATTGAATTTTTATCTATTTGTAATAGGTAAGAACTTCTAATATTTAGTACTTTAAAATTTAATAGAATCTTTTTTTCTTAAATTTTGAACCATATTAAAAGTACTAGTAACATTTAAGACTTTAAAATCAATAATTTTACCTTATAAAAATCTTACTTAAATTATGGTAAACAAACTAAATAAAAAAAAAATTAAAATATCAAAAAAAAAAGTTTCACGTTTTTTAAATAACTTTTAAAATTTTCATATATGATTTTTGGTTGTTTTTTAAAAATATTTTTATTATTTTAAAATATAATTTTATTGATTGATGTGAGACATATGTGCAAAACACGTATATTAAACTTCTACCAAAAAGTTATTGCCTTACCTTAATATAACCAGAAAGAGTTATGAATTTGAAAAACATTTTAAGTAAAATTCAATCCACCGAAATATAATCAGAAAGAGTTATGAATTTGAAAAACATTTTAAGTGAAATTCAATCCACCGAATAATTCACTCGTGATATATCGAAAGAGGAAAAAAATTGAAAGGAAAGTATTGACTACACTCCAATTCTAAGCTTTATGTTACTCTTTCAAAGTGACATGACAAATCCATGACATTTCAATTATATTGATTGAGATGGAAACTTTGCCCACAATTCTATTACTATTAATTAATGAGTGGCTCCACGATTTTCCTTGGGCACATGCATCCCACGTAATTCAATTTTATGGCTCTCCATTACCTATATATGACTATATTAGTTTAAATTTAGGCCTAAGTCATCGCCGTCCCCTTAAAGTTGTTCGCATAATTCACTTAAACACTTCAATTAAGATTTGTACCTATTGAACACATGTACCCTCCCGAATTTGAACCATCTGAACATTTTTTGCCTACATGGCACATTGTTTGTGATTCACCCCAAAGAGGCGCGTGAGAGGTCTTTAGTTAGCCATTTTTTTGGAAAAAAATGTTCCTTCTTCCTCCCCTCTGTCGATCACTTCCTCCACCACACCAGTCATCGCCGCCATTATACATCCATCTTCTTCCTCCTTTTTTCTCCGGATACTTCACTTCTACCTCCATCACCGCTTTTTGTTTCTCCATTGCCATCATACGATACCTTCATTGCCGCCATGGTTGCCGCCATCATTATCGCCATTGAATTTGTGGAGGGCTTGAAGTTTGGAATTTTTTTCTTTGTTGTTAATGTAGTGTTTTAGTGTTAAATTGATGTAGATTTGTGTGAATTTTGTTAAAGTATTTTCCTATTTATTTTTTTGCTTTGTTCACATTTTTGTGAGAATTGATATATATTTGTGCGAATGTAAAGGTGTTTTTCAATCGAAAAAAATAATCAACTATAGAACTCAAAAAAAAATCCGACATAACTCTATTTTTTCAACAATGTCCATCGGAATGATTAATTTTCTGACGAAATTCATCTTTCCGTAAAAAATGGAACGAAGAAGGCAGTTAAATTTTATTTGTTTTACCTATGGCTAACTCTTCCGCAACTCATCAAAAATAACAATAAATCTTCATCCTTTTGCTTGAAGAAGGTTCGAAAATAACATATTTATTGAGGTGGATTGCCGTTGGGGGTGGGGCGCCGTACAGGGAGAGGAGTTTTGAACTCCGATGGAATAGCAGGGTAGGTAAGTTACAGGATTTACATTATTTTTTTTTAATTTTAACTTAAAAATAATTTTTTTTTCTTTTACTTTATAATATATTTTAAAATAATTTTTTGGACTAAAAACATCCAGATGTCAGTATTTAATTCGTCAAATTGTCATGTCATCGCAAGTGTATTTCACACACTTTATACTTTTAGTTTAGGGCTAACCCATCGGTGGCCCCTTAAATTTGGCACGAAGTTTCACTTAGGCACCTTAAGTGGGCGATGTTCATTTTAGACACCTCATGCAGGGTCTCGATGTGTCATTTTGACACTTTTTGCTTACATGGCTTAGTGAGTGTAATACACTTGTTGAGCGCGCGTGAAAAACTTATTTAGTCGATTTTTTAATTATTTTTTTCTTCTTCTTTCCCATTTTCAGCCACCATTTTTGCAAACTTAACTATCCAACATGGTGAATAAAAATAGTTACAGTAAAATGATGAAAAATGATGGAAACTATTTTAGAAATTTAGGAATAGACCCATTTCAAGATTAAATATTAAATTATTCATGAGATTCTTAGAATTTAATATTTAAGTAGGGGTATTTGGAGAAGCCGGGGGGGGAGGGGGGGGGAGGCAGGTGTTTCTGCAAATGGGTATGGATTTTTGGAGAAGACAATTGGGGGTGGGGGGGGGGGTAGGGGGGAGGGGGTCAGGTGTTTATGCAAATGGGTATGGGTTTTTGGAGAAGACAATTGGGGTGGGGTGAGGTGGGTGGGGGGGGGGGGAGGGAGGCAGGAGTTTTTGCAAATGGGTATGGGTTTTTGGAGAAGACAATTGGGGGTGGGGTGGAGTGGGGGGGGAGGGGGGCAGGAGTTTCTGCAAATGGGTATGGGTTTTAGGAGAAGACAATTGGGGGTGGGGTGGGGGGGGGGGGTCATGTGGGGATTTTATTGATTTAATTTGTTTTAAAAAAATTATTTGGGCAAAAATCCACGTGTCATTGAGTCATTGGTTACTTTATATTTTTACTCAAAATTCATTATCTACAAATTGTTTTTGACAAATGTCGTCATTTAATTCGCCACTTTACACGTCATTCGCGAGTGTAATACACACACTTCATATATTTTTGTTGATTGGCAAAAAAGTGTCAAAATGACACAGCGAGACCCTACATGAGGTGTCTAAAATGAACATCGCCCACTTAAGGTGCCTAAGTGAAATTTCGTGCCAAATTTAAGGGGCCACCGATGGGTTACCCCTTTAGTTTATTGTCAAAAAAATGTTCAGATGGTTCAAATTTTAAGGGATGGAAATGTTCAATAGGTACAAGTCTTAGTTGAGGTGTCTAAATGAATTATGCGGACAACTTTGAGGGGTTGTAGATGACTTAAGCCTTAAATTTAATTCGACTAATAATTCACCAATCTATCTTGAAATGGGTATAATATGATAACAAGATAAGAAATTGAACTATCACCTACAAAATGAAAGTTCAGATACTGAATGAATCACGATATTAAACTTCTCAATGTTTTATAAAAGAATCACATTTTCTGCTAGAGTTGAAAAAATGATTTTTATATGACTAAATTACAAGACCCTCACAATAGGAAAAAAAATACAAGGAACAGAACATATAAGCACAAGATCACTTTTCTTTTATTTTCATTGAAAAAAGAGAGAGACTTATAATATATAGCTACAAACCAACATATTCAAGAGAGTTCATATTTAGTTTTAACTCCAAAAGTAAATGTAAAAAATAATTCAAAAATAGCAAAGTAATTGACAAACATTAACATAATAAAACCTGTTGCTTCACTTCTAACAGATT